CTGCATGGTTTCAATTGTTTGCTGAAGATGATGAATCAAGTCTTTTATACTGGCTGGGGGATACTGTGCCATTGGAATTGGCGAATGATCTCGTACTAGACTAGATATAGAAGACTGAGCCTGACTAGATGTAGGTGAAATGATGGGTGATTGCTGTAGAAACTGGACTGGTGAACTCTGCCTGACTCTTCTCCGTCTAGTAACCAGTGGGAGCGAAGTAAACACAGGCTGTCCCCTAACAAGATCTTCGGCTTTGCAAAGCCTTCTGTCACAGGTCCAGAGTACTTGGGAGATATCCGAACCTTCTGAAGCTATGGTGTTAAACTACCAAGAAAAAAGAAATAAAGCAAAAAGAAAGCATTAATCAGAAATTGCACATCACCTCAGCATGATATTACCAACACAGATGTAATCAAAGTTGTAGGACAGCACTCAATACTGAATTCTGCCCCCAAAACGGATACCAAACTTGCAACTGATACGCACATTCCTGTACAGTTTCATTGTAAAGCGCATACCAGTTAAGGGAGAGCTAAAACATCTCTATGAGGGGGTAAGGTTACCCTATCCTAGTTTCATCAGGAACTAGGGTTCGCTATTCAAACAAAGAGGCCTCACGCAATCAAAAAATAATGTGAAAGAAAAATAAAGAAAGAAATAATAAGAATAAATTTGAAATCAAAATGAAAGATGGGGGAAATAAGGAAAGTGGTTCGCGTGGTTTCTTGTCCCACTGTTTTGTGAAAATCGGTAATGGGGTTCGGTATATATATATATATATATTTTTTTTTTTTTGTGGGTTAATAAAAAAAATAATAACAATAATATATGAAGGAGGAAAGCATGTGCGCTGGTGGGTTGGAAAGTGAAAAAAATGAGAGAAAGAGAGAGTGGGGTACATGATGATGATGTTGGATGTAACTTTAAGATCACTGTAGCTTTGTTTTTCCAGCTCAATATTGGAATTTGAGCTCTTCAGGCTGAACAGAGATAAACTGGGCAGACCCAGTCATGGCGATGATAAGATATTGAACAGTGAGAAGGACGAAGATGCTCTGGGCCAATTCTGTGATCAACGATTCAGCCACCAAGATCAGGGTTCACTGTTTTGAAGCAAATACTCTTTGATTCTAGAGAGAGATAGTATGGATCTTCGTCGTTGAGTACACACTGGTTCGACGACAGGCAGGGTGTTTACGGTGGCAGATGCGGTTCCATTCTTGAGGTGGTTGGATTCAGAGGGTTATGAGAAGGCCATGAAGAAGACAGCCAAGGAACTAGACGGTGTGCTTCGAGGGTGGTTGGAGGAACATAAGCATAAAAGAAATTCCGACGAGGCCAAGGCTGAGCAAGACTTCATGGACGTGTTGCTGTCTGTTCTCGATGGTGGTGTCACCCAGGAGGGCCCCAAATTTAAATGCAGGAGAGAAGAGAGCGACAGATTCATCAATCCATGAGTAGATTCATCGATCCAGGAGATGAAAAATTGATATTTTTGAAGACCAGATGGTGAGAGATGGTGTTTGTGTGTCTTTGGTATGTGCCTCTGTCGTGTGTGAAAGCTGGTGTGTGTGTGTGTCGAGTGAAGGCAATGGTGGTGTGTTTCGGTGAGGTGCCGAGAGGGAGAGGGAGGTTTGAATTGGTTGAGATCCGGCGGGCGGTCAAGGCAAGGTTGCCGCCCGCCGGAAGGCGAAAAACACCAAGATCTTTAACCTATAGCTCTGATACCATGTTAAAATTGATATATTATTGATTGATGTATGTTATTTATTACAAATGGTGAGGGGCTCCTTATATAGGAGATGTAGTGGAGTAGGTGGAGTAGGTGGTAGTGGTAGGTGTGTAGTAGGTGGTGGTAGGTGGTGGTAGGTGTAGTAGGTGGAGTAGGTGATGGTAGGTTTTAACAGTTTAAGACTTCAAATCATGAATCGGTGATGTGTGTTTGGTAGATTGTGGTAATATATAATATGTAAGTGGCATATAATGGGTTATAATGATGTTTGTAATATCTCCTATATAAGGAGTGTCATTTGGTCTTGTAAGATAAGAAGTTTTGAATATAACAGAAATATATTCCTTCTTCCTCATATTTTCGGAGTTCTTCTTCCTCATATTTTCCCAGTAGGTTATTGGCATAATTTCCCAATAACAAAATGAGATCTAAAGTGTCATCTTAATACATGATAAAAGATTATAGGATGTTCATTCATGGTAGAAAATTAGCATAGCTTTCATAAACATAGCATAGGTTTTGCATTTCAAATCATAGTTTAACAAACATAACTTTACTACACTACTACTCACAAATGGCTCTTGAACCAAGGGTGTTTTCTTCCTCCAAATGCTTGAACTACATAGAACATGAACAAGATATTGAAGACAATTCAACTTACAAGCTCCTACTTCAATTCAAGTGCCTAAAGTTACCTTAATATTTCTTAATTATTTTCTTATACTCAAGGTCTTTCTAAGCTTATTCCAACTCTAAGTCAAGTGTCAAACAAGTGTCGAATGTATGCCTAGAAGCATACTAGGTGATAAAGGGTTGATGAATATTGAAGTGTGCCAAAGACGTACGTTGAAGGGTTCTAATTATTCCACGACAATTTCATATGCTTTGCATTAAAAAATATCATGCTTAGATGTTTAAGGTTGAAGGAAATAGGAAGAAATGAAAGAGAACTAACCTAGGAGAGGAATTAGCATGAAATGGTTAGGAAGAAAGAAAGCAGCCTTAACTAATTTAAACATATCTCTTTGTATACATGGAATTTGGATGTGAGACCACTACCATTGGAAACTAGGCTTCCAGGGCAGGAAGTTAGACTTGAGAATTGCTTAAAACCTAGTTCGGATGAGAGAGATACGCCCATTTGAAATTGGGCTGAATCAGGGGTGCTTCAAGTGTGGGGATCAGGGCCGCACATACGGTTTTTGCAGTAGGAAAAATCACTTTCTGTGAGGGTTGGCCGCACATGCGGGGATGGGTGGCGCGTGTGCCGAAGTGGCTGTTCAGGAACACTTGTTTGAGTCCGAAAACCTCACTTTTTCTTATCTTTCTCCCTTTCTTTTCAAGGTTCTAAAGTATGAATTTAAGCTTGCAAAAACTCTTAAAAATCATAAGAAAGTATGACAACAAAGCTTGTTTCAAATCCAGAACATCAAAAACAAGATCAAACAACAAGATTTATCACTACCTAGTTCTTTTCCATTTTGTTCTAACCTTCCTCATTTTTTTCTTCATTTCTATCCCTTAAACACAATGTTTAAGACTTCAAATCATGAATCGGTGATGTGTGTTTGATAGGTAAACATTAATATGAGATGAATTCTAAGTTAAGGCAAATCAAAACTTAGTTTTTCTAACCAATTCTTCAAACCCCGTTTCTTTTCTAAGTTCTTCTCTATTTCTTTCATTTCAATCTCTTCAAAATGTAGTCTAAATGATTTTCTTTCTAGGTTACAACAATAACTTGAGGTAGAGGACTGGATTTCTTACCCTTTGATGAATTTCTCTTAATTTCTTCGTTGAAGACTTTGAATTTCTTTGACTCCTCTTCTTTTCTCCTTCCTTTCTCTTTTCTTCTTCCTTTCTCTTTTCTTCTTCTCTTCCTAGAATACAAATCCTCTCAACTCTTCTCTAACCTTCTCCTTCCTTCTCTTATATTCTTGCTCCTACAGATTTTTCTCTTGTTTTGGTTTTACCTAGCAAGGTGAGACAAAAGGGTTGGAAGACAAGGAAGGCATGGGACAAAAGGGGTGGTGTATGTATGCATCACTTATGTGCTTGCTTTATTAATTCCTTAATCTCCATCATTAATTTAATTAATCGATTTTAGTTATAATTAATCAAGATTAAACTTAATCTTGCTTAACTTAATTAATCGTGATTAAGGCTTACTATGCTCACTTAATGAACACTAATCCTATAGCATTAAAATAACAAGCATATTAGTCGAAGATCTTTAAGCTCCTCAATTAAGGTTTCTTAGGTGATCTAAGCATTCAATATCCATATCAAAAATCCATCCCTTAACTCCATGTTACTTGTCAATTCCCACACCAAGGTTCTATTTCTAAATTGTCTTAGGTTTTTCATCAATCACAAGTATCCTTAAATCCCTTCTTCTTAGGCACTCTTCCTCAAGTTTTTTCAACTATTCGCTTCTATGCTTTACTTCAAGTATTCTGTTTAGTGAGATAACTAACTTGACTTGAGGCATTCAAGGTCATGGTACATGGCATTCTTTGGTGTGTCACAAACATCCTTGCTTGTTTGAGTGTAGAGGTCTTGTACAAGCGCATGCATCAGTTTCTGGTGGTTGTTTATCATTCCTTATAAAAGTCACACAATACATTATGGTGTCCCGTAAATTCTTCAAATTATTCACATTTTTATATTTAGTACCTCAATTTTTATTTCTAGATTGGTTATACTTTTTTTTCTCTCCTAGTCTGGTTATGTGGTCTTGAGTTTTGTTGAAGCTACTGATTGGACTAGTTAAGGTCTCTTAAACTAAGAAATACTATTATATTAGATATCTGTGCTCTTAGCATGATGGTGTTAGGTCGATGGCACTTTTGCAATGGTCTCTTGTTTCATTGTAATGTTGTATTCTGTAACACCTTAGCAAATGTACTTTTATATATTCATCAGCCAGTGAAGAGCAATGTAATTCAGAAAGCACAACCAAAGGTTTCCAAAAGAAAATTTTCCTTATACCACAATATTTATTTGAGTCGATCTGCACGATTTGTTCATCCGAAGGAGCCCAAAAATTTAGAGCTTGAATGACAATTCCAAATTAATATCTGAATCTCATATCAAGCCTAGTCTAATATAGGTAAACCAAATAAAAGCAATAATCCAATAAGGAAACAAATGCATTGTTGCAGGTATAATTTGCCAATTTATAGTCTAATCTGTCATCAGGGAATTTTTTCCTCTCATTTGTCATTTTGTAAAAGTATAAAATAATGAGTTTTATTATGGTTTCCAGGAGGGAGCAACCCACTTAAAGGGGACATGCTAGTGATAGCTGGGTCTACACTTTATGCTATCAGTAATGTCAGTGAGGTAAGTTTACCCTATTTTTTCTCAAAGAACACAAACATTTTATGAAAGGGTACGTGTCTGCAGGTATATTGGCTTCTCTTTTTCATTTTTGTTTTATATCTCAGCCTCAAGGATTGCTTTAAAAATAGTTTTTTCCTTACTATAAAAGCTTTTTTTATTTTATTTTAATTGAAAGAATCTTCTCTCCATGTCTCCTGCTTCCCAATTGTTAGAATATGCTCTAACTGTTTCTCCTAGCTCTACTTTTTCTTGGAATCTCCTTTTGCTTGTTTTTCAACACTTCATTTCCCGTTCTTCTTGTTAGGATCAAACACACACAGAAAATAATCTCACACACACAGAGCACACAATATTTACGTGGTTCGGCCCAATGCCTATATCCACGGATAGAAATGAGAATTTTCACTAAAATGAAGCAAAAATACAAAACAGAGGAGGAGATAAAATCTCTCACTCAACTCACAGCTCTCTCTCTCAAATTTCTGATACAATACATCATCTCCCTCCCATCTCTATTTATACACAAAGAGAGGGAGAGAGAGATACCAACCCACCAAAAATGTCTACCCTCTTGTAAAAATAAATTGATAGAGAGAGAATGAATTGTATGTATTATTATTGATAGATGTATGTTATTTATTACAAATGGTAAGGGGCTCCTTATATAGGAGATGTAGTGGAGTAGGTGGAGTAGGTGGTAGTGGTAGGTGTGTAGTAGGTGGTAGTAGGTGGTGGTAGGTGTAGTAGGTGGAGTAGGTGATGGTAGTTTTGACGAGTATGGAAAGAAGAAAAATTGCCAAGTCCAGAATTTCACATATAGCTTGCATAGGGCTTTACAATCATGTTTACGGTTAATTTTAGTTTTATTTTTTTATATTTTACAGGTTAGAAATGCTACTAGACAAACTTATTGGCTTTTATTAGGTTTTAGTAATTATGGTGTAATTTTGCAAATTGCTAGACATAAGGCTGCACGGATCACCCATGAATCAATTTGTTGGTTAGATTAGGTTTTCAGGTCTCATACATGGCTATTATTAGGTCCAAATATGTCATTTGTCAAAGTTTCTTAATTTCCTAATTTAGAAGTTATAAACTAAAAAATTTATCAAAACCCCAGTAGCTTATTATTTTAACTCTTTGTGTAATCCCTATATGAAAAAAAACTATTTGTGTAATTCCTTTTTCTTATAAAGTTGAGTTTTAGAGAATTAGTGTGAAGACTATGTGATTTTGCATAATCTTTTGTCCAACTTTGCCTTTGGGGGGTCATTTTTGAGGAATTTAGGTGGGATTCCTAGAGCCTTCTTCTTCCTCACCTTTTGCCAGTCCTTCCATGAAAATGCCATTCTTGAGTTATTTCTCATAGGAAAGCAATGTCAAAACCCAAATCATCCCCTAGCCCATAGTTGTCAATCGTATTGTGAATCGAAATCCTAATTTAGTAAATCGTGAAATTGAATAGAGAATCATTAAAATTCAGTACAGACAATAAAAAATGATGTCAAATAATTGTATATATGAAAAAACAAATGAAATAAATTGATTTTGTCACATGTTATAAAATAGTTATTATGCAAGGACATGTTTACAACATCTAAATTGGAAGACATTTCCCTTAGTAGTAAGAGAAGCGAGTCCAAATCCCAAGAACCACAAAATTATTCACAAATATAATATAATCTCTCTTGACATTCAAAAAATAGAGCTAGGAACCCCCTATACAGAGTATAATAAGTGAAATCCATTAAGGAATTTGTTGTTATTTTGTTGATCAAAGGGTTTTTAATAGAATCCAATCAAAAGTAGTCACCTTCTTAGAAGTGTCCGTGCTTCTTAGAGGAGAGCTAATTTGCTACACGTGAAGGGTGGTAAAGGACATAGCGGCCATATGCACATAACCCCTTTAGTGATAACTACTTAACCCCTTGTGGTTTGAGAGCTAAGAGTTTCACTCTTTTGAGCTTGTGTGATGATAAGGAGTGTAAACAGTACAAACAAACCTGTGAGAATACACTGTTTGCTCTGTCTGCTCTCTGTTGTAGCAAAAAGAGGAGTTCATGTCATCAGTGGCTAACCGGCCACCACTAGTAGCCGACCGACCACCATTGGTAGCCGACTTGCCCCTTGTCAGCCACTAATGAAAATTGCCCAATGTGTTGTGTTTTTTTTTTTTTTTTTTTTTTTTTTTTTTTTTTGGTTTAATAATAATAATAATAATATATATGTATAGATAGAAAAGAAAAGAAAAGAGAAAAAAGAAAAGAAATTGAAGTCAATATATATATATGTATATGTTTACATATTAAAATATAGATAGAATATAGTATGATGAGGTTGTGGGTGGGAAAAATGATAAAGTATTTTAAGAGATAGTGGGTGGTTCATGTGAGTAGTCTCGTGGGTGATATAAAAAAAAAAAAAAAGCAAAGAAAGTGGAAAGAGAGTGGGAACATATTGATGATGAAAAGTGGGAACCAACCCATGTGGGTGGAGGTGGTATGTAGGGTATTTAAACAGTTAATTAAAAGGAAGAGAGAGAGTAGATGTGCCAAGAGAGAACCAGCCTCCCCTCATGCATGTGTATCTCTATGTCTTATCCCTTGCTGGGTCTGTGTGTGTATCAACCGTGTGTGTAGCCGTTCCTCCACTTCCCTCACTTTCTCTCTCCTCCCTCATCCAAGAGACAGATGTATTATAATAGTTGAAGGAGACCAAGAATCAACAGAGAAAAATACAGAGGAGGGTTGTGGTGGTGAACACGTTGTTGTCTTCGCTGGAGAAGAAAGATGAGTGCTTCGAGGTTCATCAAGTGCGTCGCCGTTGGCGATGGAGCTGTTGGCAAGACTTGCATGCTTATCTCCTATACCAGCAACACCTTTCCCACTGATTATGTGCCGGCTGATTGGAGCTGAAAAAGCTGAAGGGAGCTGCGGTTTACATTGAATGCAATTTGTTCCTGATGTCAATCATCATTTTCGATCAAAGGTGGTCACAGATCTGAGATCGGCTGTGGCCACAAATGATAGAGAATCACATACGTCAACTAGGTGTCAAACCTTAGTTGAAAAAGAGGATCTACTCCATCTGATGGTGGAGGATGAAGGCAACACAGATCTGAAATCGAAAGCGACGCGACAACAGAATGATTGCTGAAGCTGCTGCCATGGTGAGGAAGGTGGTGGCACCGGCACGGAGCTCCGTTGTGAAGGTGGTGAAGAAGATTCTAGCGGACTAGGTTGAGGTCTCAGGGCGGCGTCGTTTGAAATGATCGCCGATGACCTGCGATTTTGGACGCCGATCACGAGGTTGAGATTTTCCGGCGAGGAAAAGAAGCAGAAGCTTCCGAGATCGCAGGATTCGCCTCTGATGGTGACGACGTAGGCGAATCGGACGACGATGAGGCTGAAAGTGAAGTGTTGGCTTTAAAGCAACAACTTAAGGTTGCAACTCAGAAGAATTCATCCCTTGAAGATCGATTTAACAATCTTGATGGAGCTCTCAAGGAGTGTGTTAGACAGCTTCGACAAGCTAAAGAGAGAGAGTAAAGAATTGTGTGAAGAGAAATTGGGAAGTTTCAAAAGTTTTTTTTAACTTGTGTTGTGTGAAATGCAGAGACTGGGACTCAACGAGAACAGAGGAAGCTTCAAGGAAGAAAATTGGTGGTGATAGGTTGACTGGGTGAGTCAAGGACAGCGACTCGAAGGAGTTGGGCGTGAAGGTGGTGGACTAGAAGAAATTTCAAGGTATGTGTAGAAATTTCTAGCGGACTAGGTTGAGGTCCGGCGGGCGGCCAAGGCGAGGTTGCCGCCCGCCGGTGAAGCGAAAAAATACTAAGTTCTTAACCTTGCTCTGATACCATGTAAAAATAAATTGATAGAGAGAGAATGAATTGTATGTATTATTATTGATTGATGTATGTTATTTGTTACAAATGGTAAGGGGCTCCTTATATATGAGATGTAGTGGAGTAGGTGGAGTAGGTGGTAGTGGTAGGTGTGTAGTAGGTGGTAGTAGGTGGTGGTAGGTGTAGTAGGTGGAGTAGGTGATGGTAGGTTTTAACAATAGGTTTTAACACCTCTTTAATGGTGAATGGCGAAAATCAACAAACATCAACAACGTGAAGAGAAGGTTGGGTCTTGCAGATGCCCAATTCAAACTTTCACTTCCAGTGGAGGTCTTCCTATGCCATCATCCTTGACTCTATATGTATGGTTTTGCATGAAATAAGGATCACCCCTTTTCACATGGGGTGACCTCCAACAATCACCCCCTCAGCCCATGTAAGGTGATCCACAACAAAACCTGCTGCCAAGGAATCAAGCACCCCCTGATTGGATACCATGCACCCCCTACTCAGGATACCCTGCATTGCCGTGCAACTCCTTGCATGATGAACACGGGAGCAACTAGAAAACTTCAGAGTTTGACACATCAACATCCTCACTTTTCCTTGCTTGGAACTTATTTCTGAACAACCAGTCTTTGCTTTCTGCACTTCAGAACAACTTCCCAGCGATCTTATACGCCCGTTGTCTGTGTTGTAATCCCTGATGTTCGGTTATGTCTCACTTGTACGTCCGTACTGATGTTTGACAGTTAGCCCTTCTGCCAAGACAGTTTCCACTGGTCTGTACAAGCTACCACTATGCAACTCTGTGCATAGTGCTCACACCCCCTTACTGGGGTGCCATGCAAAGCTCACTTTGTGACTCGAGATTGCATCCCTCCCTTCCATGCATCTTTTGAGAGGTTGCAAAATGTCTCTAACATAGGAGCAAAAGAAACTCTCTTCTTCACTAGCACAGTCTCTATCGACTTGGTTTCTTTGCTCTGAACTTCCTTCAAGATTGGCTTCACTGGCTCAGATCTGTGCACCTTCAAACTGCCTCCTTGCGTTCCCGTGCACCTTTTTCGCCATTTTTGATGAAAGCCTTGCTTAGTCATACGCTTTGGTTGCGTATGTTCTCTCTTTGTACCCTTCGACTGGCGTTTGACAACACTCATCTTTGTCAAAACTTCTCCTTCCAGTCTGTACAGTTTGTTGCACAATTTGCCTTGCAACAATTTTCTATCACCTCTGTGTACATGAAGAACCCGGCCACTAGATGAGAAACAATTTCCTTTTAGATCTAGCATACTCAGGGAAATTAGATTCCTCTGTACTCCTAGCACATGTCGGACCTCAGATAAAACCACTTTTCTTCCATCCTCAGTAAGGAACCGCACTGTCCCTATGCCGACAACTCTGTTCACTGGGTTGTTGGCCATCCAGATAATGCTACCACTGACTCTTCGGTAAGTGGAGAAAAGCTTCCTATCCGCACATATGTGGAACGTACACCCTAAATCCAAAATCCAACCAGGTGTCTCCAACTCTGACGAGACTATAAGCATCACATCTTCATCATCAGAGGAATTCACTGCAACTGCTATAGTTGAGGGACCTCCGTGTCCCTTGGCCTTCTCTTTGGCTTGTCTATCCACCTTTTTCTCTGGGCAATCTCTTATTACGTGATCCTCTTGATCACAGTAAAAGAACCTCCTTGTGTTGCCCTGTCTGGACTGTAAACGCCCTCTGCTTTTACTTCTTCCTCTACCTCTGCCCTTTTCTCTATCTCTGCCTCTACTTTCTGTGACAAGGGCCTGGGACTGCTCTCCTCCCATCTCTCTCTTCCTTGCCTCCTCGTTGAATAAGGCGTCTATGACCATCCCCATGGTTAGCTTCCCTTCGGGTGCAAAATTACTGAGAGAAACCGCCAACGTTTCCCAACTGTCTGGTAAGGAACTGAGTAATAATAATGCTTGCATCTCATCCTCCAACTCCAGTTTGACTGATGCAAGCTGGTTCACAAGGCTGTGGAATTCACTAGTGTGTTCAGCAACAGACACACCACTCTTCAATTTCAGGTTTATAAGCCTTCTCATTATCAAGGCTTTGTTCTGTGCGGTCTTGGACTGATACATGCCCTCCAATTTCATCCATAGGGCATAGGCGTCCGTCTCTTGGGTGACATGGTGGAACACACTGTGGTCAATCCACTGTCTGATTTGACCGACAATCTTCCGGTTGGTTTTTATCCAGTCCTCATCCTTGTCTCCATCTGGTTTGGCCCCCTTTAGCGCTATAGGGTCAAACAAATCTCTACAATACAGGATGTCCTCCATCCGCGGCTTCCATATCGCATAATTAGAAGCGTTCAACCAAATCATCGGCCCTGAAATTGATGTGGATTCCTCCATCATACAAAAAGTGATCTCTGTTTGAAAACAGGCTTCACTGTGGAGTCCGAACTGATCAAATTAGTTGGAAAATCACTTCGGATTGCCAAAATAAAAACTGCAAATTTTTGAAAGCTGATTTGCAAAATCTGACCATACGGATGTGTCCGGAATATTCCACATAGTTGGAAAGCATTATTGGATCATCAAAAATGGACCCAGAATGGCTCAGATCAAGCCAAAACAGGTTGGACAGCTCAGATCGGCAAAAGCTTGTGCGGCTGAGAAGCCCCGGATAATTCCTCCGGTTCGACTTGCGTCAACGGCTTGGTCAATCGGCTCGGTCAGCGGCTTCGGCTCCGACTCGGCTTGGTCATCGCTTGGTCAGCGGCTTGGTCAACGTGGCTCAGCTTGGTCAACGGTTTTGTCTTGGGCGGCTCGGCTGAAGTGGATTTACAAAAAAAATTATTATGTCTTGTCTCCATGGAGTTTTGAACTCCGGACTTCCAGCAACAACACTTCGACTTTAGCCACTACGCCAACACAACCCTTGGGTTTTATAGCTTCACCAATATGTATTTATTACATAAAACAGAAGGGTCGTCTTCTTCCCTGGGTTCGCGCGTGAAGCTCGTGCAGCCAGTCACCGGCGCGTGAGAACGGCGTCAAGTGCGCTTGTGGCGCGTGCGGTCACCTCCGACCTCCATTTTTGACGCGGTTTTCACCTATGTGCTCATCTCGTCTAGAGCTTCAAGGTTATGTGATCAAAAGTGGATTTCGACCACTTTGATTTCTGGGCAAGTTTTGAAAAAACACTTTGTTTTTCCGAAAACACACAAAACCGGCTCTGATACCACTTTGTTAGGATCAAACACACCCAGAAAATAATTTCACACACACAGAGCACACAATATTTACGTGGTTCGGCCCAATGCCTACATTCACGGACAGAAATGAGAATTTTCACTAAAATGGAGCAAAAATACAAAACAGAGGAGGAGATAAAATCTCTCACTCAACTCACAGCTCTCTCTCTCAAATTTTTGATACAGTACATCTTCTCCCTCCCATCTCTATTTATACACAAAGAGAGGGAGAGAGAGATACCAACCCACCAAAAAATGTCTACCCTCTTTAATGGTGAATGGTGAAAATCAACAAACATCAACAACGTGAAGAGAAGGCCGGGTCTTGCAGATGCCCAATTCAAACTTTCACTTCCAGTGGAGGTCTTCCTATGCCATCATCCTTGACTCTGTATGTATGGTTTTGCATGAAATGAGGATCACCCCTTTCACATGGGGTGACCTCCAACACTTCTTGACCTTTTTTTTAATTATTTCCAAATCTCACCCTTTGTCTGGCTGTGGTTTTGCCTTCATGCACCCCCTTATACTCTTTCCTTCTTTTTTCTTTTTCGTTTTTTCCTTTTTTTCCCCTTTATTTTATCTTTTGGCATTTTTGTAAAGCCTGTGTAGTCGGGTGTGGACGTGAAATAACTGCACAGGCTTTAATAGATGAGTGTGGATGTTTTTGATCTGTATAAGGAGTATCTATGAGTCCCTTTTATTATTATTTTCTTTTTCTTTTTATTTCATTGATAAAGGCGGTGCCCCTCGGCACATTCTCTAATACAATTCTTTGTTTTATTTTATTTTTTTATTTTTTTTGTTGCTAATAAAAAATGTGTAAAGCCTGTGTAATTATTTCACATTCTCCTGGCTGCTTCTAGATGTTTCTTTCTGAACTTTATTCTGTTACACAAGCAATGTTGTTAGATGTTTCTGGTTGCTTTATTGTTTCAGGTGAAAATGTGCAATTCCTTTTTTTCTCTTCAAATTATTAGTTTATAATCAGTTTTTAATGATTTTGAACATCTGCCTTCATAGGGAATTATTAATTGAAAAAGAAAATATTGGTCTTCCATAATTGTTGCAAGTTTGTTGGGCTACGCCACTCAGTGGTTCTCATAAGTCTTATTTATACACACAGCCTATTACATAAATGAAGACGTGTACGGGTGTTTGTATGCAAGTATTTGTTATTTATTCATTTTGAACTGCAGTGTATCTAATTTTGCGTCATTAATTCCTGTTTTCTGTCTTTTGAAGGAGTTTTTTGTGAAAAGTGCTGATAGGGTTGAACTCATGGGAATGTTGGGCCTTTTTGGTGCTATTATCAGTGCTTGCCAAATGTATCCTACCTTGCATTGTTATGGAATTTCTGATTATATCCAACATGCATTGCTTTAAAAATTTAGAGGTGATCAAATAGTTGCCAAAGCTTAATGATAATTTGACATGCTTTACTTCATATATATTCATTGCTTTGTGCCGTTAATATTTTGTTATGTTCATATCCTTGAATCTTTCAATATTGTATAGAAATACAGTGCAATCTTTATATTTTATTTTCCCTTCCACTTGTATTCCTTATGACGTTTTTAGAATCATACTCGAGCAGAATGAGCTCAAATCTATCCACTGGTCAGCCGGAGCAGTAAGTCTGTTGTTTTTCATCTAGTAGATAGACAATTTTTTATGAGAAAATTTCAACCACATTCGTAGGCATGATAACAGAGGGAGACATGCAAAATTTTAGAGATCAAAATGAATTAATTTAAATTGATTCACATTGCATGTCTATGTCTAATATAAGAGGTATTTTTTTTGTTTGTAAGACGGACTTAAAAATGTCTTTTTTTTTACTAAGTTTCAGTTTAGAAATTACCACTGTGAATTTAGTTTGATGCTTTTATTTGCTACTTTGTTTTATTCCTGCTCTGATAAGGAAATTTTTAAGGAGCTTGAACTAAACATGATGTTTATAGTACATAAATGTATGGAGTGTGATGGAAATTCACACTGAAGGAGAGCTGGTGCATTTTATAGTAATAGCATTTATTCACGGGGTCAGTATATTTTTATCTAGAACAACCCCGACCGGAACACATGCATTTCCCTTCAAAATTATGGCATGAAAAGCCTAATTCCAACCCTTAATTAGTTTAATTTTTTAAGTGAACCAAGTTTAATAAGACTTCTAACATCTGAAACCTCGAGTTGTTTGAATTGATCTTTCAAATTTTGCTTAGTGGGTTTAAAGTTCAAACCTAATGAGGTTTCTTGAAGTAGTTTCTTTTTGTCTATGACCAGAGTTCCCCAAGACAAAGTAATTAAAATGATGTAGTACTCTCTCTCTCTCTCTCTCTCTGTATTGTTTATTCATGATTGTTACAGATGAAAATTCATTAATATATTGGTTTTATTAAATAAAATGGTGTGCAACTGGTGGCTAACTGAAAGAAAAAATAAATGTATTAAATTCCTCGTGGGTCATAGTTGGCATAATGAATTTTGAGAAGAACAGTGGTCTAGCTTGTTCGAAATAAATTTCTGTTTGGATACATTTTTCCTCAACAATATGCTAATAAGTGAAATAACATGCATAAGGAATTTATCTAAGAGAGAATAGTTAAAATAAAATCAAGAGTGAATTGTCTGTTATGAAGCCTATTCCTCTGTTGGTTTGCATGCCTTTTAGTTCAGTATGTAAAGAAGTTTGATCATTTTTCTTGAACAGAGTTTAATTTAATGTGTATCATGATCTTTCAATTTTAGGTGATTCCTTTTATTGGATTTGCATTGGCGATGTTTCTGTTTTACTCAGGTGTCCCCATATTGCTGAAGGTATGGACTTGAGTTGCTGAAGGTTTACAATTTTTAATTTTTTTTAGCTTTAATTTTCTCTCATCTTACATGTGGTTGAGATTTCCATTTCTTATTCTGGTTGTTACTGTGAATGTTGTATTATTGGTTTGTGTATAGTGGTTTTTTTGTATTTTTAGTGCTTGGAGTTTCTCTCTATTTAATTAAGGGAAAATATCATTTAAGTGGAATGTAGAAAAAATAATAACATATTAATGAAAAATTTTAGAACATTAAAAAATAATTGGGTAAATTAGAAATACACCACCTGAGATTTGCTTAAAATACGGATTACTCCCAAAATTACAAATACCTACTTGGAATTTTTTATTTAACAACATTAACGAAGAAGGAAGACTTATATGTAGGTCCTAATTGGTGGACTTATTATCCAATAAGTCCTATGATAATTAATGACGTTTTTCATCAAATAATATTAAAAAACGTCACCAATTAATTTTTAGTTACAGTTTGAAAATTTTGTCGCAAAAAATGTCACTAATTATAAGTTTTAGTAACAGTTTAAAAAAATTGTCAAAAAAAAGTCACTAATTTTCAACTTTCAACAACAGTTTGAAAAATTCGTCACAGAAAATAAAGTCATTAATTGTAAGTTTTACCGACAATTTATAAAAACCGTGACAAAAAAAAGTCACTAATTTTTAATTTTCAGTGACATGTAAAAAATCGTCACAAAAAATTATTTTTAATAACGATTTTACTAGAACTTATTTTCAATAGGACTTGATGGAAATTAAGTCCAACTATTAGGTCCTATTGGTAGTTTACCCAATTTTTAACTGTTGTCGTATACAATAATAAAATTATGTGATTTATTAATTAAAATAAATTTCTAACATCATTAAAAACTGTTAATTAACTTGATGGTTTATTAATAAAATGAGTCATTTGTTATGAAATTAAAAATTTCAAAGAGCATGATGTAATTTCCAAAATTATAAGGGGCAATTTGTATTTTAAGTAAACTTCAAAAGTTGTATTTGTAATTTATCCAAAATAATTTTATAAGTTTTTCCATGAAATTGTAATTATTTTTACTTATTACCTCTGACATGTTATTTCCCCTTTAATTAATGTAAACCATCTTTGTAATTGAGGTTAATACAGTAATAGTATAATTTTCTCTTTATTCTCACATGGTGTCAGAGCTCCGCCGGAAACGTAGTCGTTGAAATCACACGATGCTGGACTTTTGAAGTCATCTCTCTCTTCTTTTCTGGTGCTTTCACAAGTCTTCATTTCAGCCCTCTTTTCCGTCCTTTTGTCACAAGCCTGCATTGCACCCTTGTAGTTCACAATTGCAATTCACAACTCTTTATTGCACAATCAATCAGAGTCACAGAGACCTCCCTCCTACCCTCATTGAACATCTTTACTTTCACAATTCTCTCATTGAAGTCATGCATGTCTTTGTCTCTCTGTTGAACTTCGTTGCATCATCTCTCTCCCTCAGATTCTATTGCATCTCTGTAGCCAAAGAATCAAACATAGTCGACCCTTCGAATGTAGCCATCACCATGTTCTCTGCTATGCAAGTGACGAGATTGATTGTTTTTTTGTTCGTCAACATTTTCAGTTGGTATTCACCCAAAAAAAAAAAAAAAATTTCAGTTGGGTACACCATTGATCTGCCCTTTACCTTCTCCTCCTTGCAGCTTGCAGAATTTTTCATCAAGACTCACACTGTAAATCATCTTTGTAATTGAGAGTAATCTAATAATGGTGTAATTTTCATTCAGTATTCTCACATTCCCATGTATCGTTGTGCTCTCCAATAAGGTGTTGGTTATTGTTCTGCCTCTCTTTTCTCTAATTTCTTCTTTGCGGTTGCACAAAATAAGAAATGAGTGTCTGTAAAATTTAGTGGGCTCTATTTGAAACCCAACTGAACTAATGTCTTTTAAGAGAATGATTATTAAAAAGTTACTCCTTTCGGGTCTTAAAGAAAAAAGTTAGTGACTTGAATAGTTTTACCGACTACAAGCAACGAATAACAAAAATTTGGATTTCCATCGAATAAATGTCCACTTATTTTAAGTGAATCTTTGATATCAACAGTTGGATCATATTATTTTTGTTTAATATTCTCTCTTTTCTTTGCACAGATCAGCGGGTCCACAATGCTAAACCTGTCTTTACTGACTTCAGACATGTGGACTGTTTTAATTCGCATCTTCGCTTACCGTCAGAAGGTTTGTGAGAACAAAATTTATTGGGGTATTACATTGGAGATCCAGATTAATTCTAAGTTTAAATATTGAAGTTAATAATTGTTACAATCTAGAACTGTCAGTCTGAATCCAGAATTCCTCCTCAGGTTGATTGGATGTACTTCATAGCCTTTGGTACTGTTGCTGTTGGGCTTGTTATTTATTCCGGGTATGTAATTTTTTGATTTTTCTTGAAGACTTACCCTAAATCCTAAACCCTAACAAGGAGCAACTTGAAGCTGATTATTCAGCTGGTTGAGGCACATTAGCATGTTAACAAGTCAAGCTCAAGACTGGAGCCCCTGTTTGGTGCAGCTTATAGCTGCTTCTTTTTTTGTGGGAAACTGTGCTAGAGTATTTGGTGCAGCGTCTTCTGCTTACAGCTTTTGAGGCTAAAATAGAAAAAAGTTGATTATTGAGAAGTAGGAGAACGGGTGCTTTTATTTTCGGTACAAGAAGTGATAACAAGTTAATTCCTTATTATGGTTAAATAAAAAACATATTGACCTCTAATTTTATTGGTATGAAATGTCAGATTTTTCCACACTGCAAAATGTTGGATTTTGTGTTAGGCCTTGCAGCCATTTTGTTTTTCTTTCTTAGGGCTGCAAAACAAGACGAGTAGCTCACAAGCAGCCTAAGTCCAGATCATCTGCAACTTGTTAAGCCAGCAGAGCTTGAGCCTAATTTTGAGCTTGTTTTGATTGTCAATCCAATCTCAAACAAACAAGGATTCAGATCATAAAAGCCTCAGAAATATATAATTTCAAAGTGGTGTACGAATGTTGAAATGATTAGTTAACCATTGGAGTAAGGGCCAATATTATGCTCAATAGAGGTCAGATTTTGGGAATTAGCCAATCTAATTTCATGATCAGCTTGAAATCATGTTAAATTTATCAACTAAGAAGCACATATACTTCTAAGCAGGTGATGTGTTTGTACCCGAAACTTGCTGACACTTCTTAGACACTTTTGAAATATGTTGGGCATATTTCCAAACATGTCCTATTATTATTATTATTATTTTTTTTGAAATTTAGACTTGGACACTTGGGGACACACATCCATCGTTTACACACATGAAACACATTATAAGTTTGAACAAAACAACATAAGTTCTAATAATAAAAGAAAAACAATGAAGATTTATACTACTAATCCATCGTCCATTTTAACTTTAGAAATTCATAATACATTGCATTTTTAACTTTGAATGAATTATTCATATATGGTATATAATAAATATATAGAACATTCTATTTTTTTCATGCTCTCCACATGTCGTGTCTTGCATTTCAAAAATATTGTCTTGTCAAAATGTACATGTTGTGTCACGTGTCCTTACTTCTTAGTTTATCAACCATATATGTGGATCAGATTATGGGACGACCTTGGGACTGGTTGATTTGAGGTATGTCTGAAAATAATTTTGGGCCATCAAAAGATGCAAATGATCAATTCGATAACCTATATCGCTACAAGGACAGAAAATTCCTTCTCCTTATAAAGTGATTGGATGAAAATATATTGACAATAGCCAATATAAATGAAAATCACAACCCAGTTCGCAGAAGTTTTTGTGTTTTGATTTTATTTTTTATTTTTTTATCTGCTCTGGAAATGGCATAAGGACCAATTCTACTGCCAACGAAATTTTAGTTTGGCACTTGAAAAAGAAAACAAAAGTGAGTGTTGGTCTAATATTTGAACCTATGCTTGTTGATATCAGGGGTGACAAAGAAGAGGATCAAAACCGCGCTGAGGTTGCAGATGAAGAGGCTGAGCGAAGCAAGCATTTTGATGAGGAGGCTGGTTCGGGAAATCCTAATCAGAAAACTACAGCTGGGTGCTCAAAAACTGGAGATAGTAGTAGTAAGAGTGAATTTGCTTCTACTAGCAGTACTGCAATAAAGGACACTGAAAGTAGGACACTGGGAAAAGATACACAAGGGAAGAAGATATGAATTTTTTTTTTTTATTATATAGGAAATGATACTTGCGTCGCGATTGAGTAACCAGGGCATTGGAACGATGCGATTCAAATAAAAGAATTGAGGAAGTTGTGAATTGCAAAATTGAAGCTTCTTTTCTTGCTTTATGTTTCAATTTAGGTGGAACTAGAAATAATGCATGCGTGTGGAGCTAAGTTAGATTTTCTTACTCCCCCTTTTCTTTTTTTTGACACGGTGTACTTGTGAGCCCTAATTTGGGAAAGAAATAAGGTAAAAAAAACCAGCTGATCATGATAAACTGGCATCGATTAGATCAATTTTGTGGAAAACAACTGGTTTCTAGCTTTAAACGATTGCCGCCAGTTCAGCTGGCAAGTCCAGTTTGATTTTCAAAACCTAGTAGAAATAATTTGTTTGAAAGTGCAGTATGGTCGTGTTGTAAATGGAATTTGCCATGTAAACAATAGACTTGAAAAAATAAGAAGGTAGTTTTTTTCTTTGTGTACTTTTTTCAAATTTGGTCCTTCTTAATTCCCCTTCTCAAGGCTTTCTAGCCTAGTACGACTCAAAAAGTAGAAAAAAAAAATGTCAGTAGAGATTAAAGGAGAATGTTTGGTAGCCACAAATTATGTGGCTCAAATGGCTCAAAAATGCCAAAACGACGTCGTTTTGACATTTTCGGAGTTGTTTTGTACCAAAAACGACATCGTTTTGACATTTTCAGGCCATTTGAGTCACAAAATTTGTGGCCATCAATCATTGCTGTAGATTAAAATGCCCACAAGGGATTAAATAAATAAAAAAAAAATGTGCCTAGGCATTTCAAAAAAGAATCTTTTGCTTTATTTATTTACTTTCAGCTTGGTTTACTTTTATGTTATTCAATTTTTCTTATAATTCTTGTGGATTTGATTTGGTGTAAAGATTGTTATTATGGGGGTTTGGTTGCTTACAAGATTGGCGGGGAAGTTTATGTTTGGTTGTTCTCATGGTGGCTTAATGAAGTTCGCTCGTTCGATGTTCCAAAAACTAAAAATAAAAAATTAAAAATGTAGCACAAGGTGGAAGAACAATATTTGTCTCCATTATGTATAATTGGGAGGAGATAAGAAAATTGTAAAATGAGACAACTGTTATAAATGAATAAAAAAATCATTTTGCTACTTGGACAAGAAAAATTCTTGTATTCCACTCTAAAAATTGAGCCAGATAGCTCAGTTACAATGCTGATATGAATTTTACATAAAATATATTTATTTATTTATTGGACTTTTCACCACAAATGCTAAACAAATGCCAATAAAAGAGTCCCTTTTTTTTTCCCTCTATTTCTTGCATTTTTGTACCTGTTTTCATTCAAACCAAACTCACCTAAGATGGAGCAAAATTGTATGTTTTTTCTACTTCCGAAAAACAAAAAGAAGACTTATTTTTATCGTCAATCAAATACATGATGATAAATGGTTTCTGTCAAACATAGTGAAGGCAATCATCTTCCGCTACAAAGGCTGCTAATCAAGAAGGAAATCACCAAAATAATATATATATATATATATAAAATATGAGAAAATTGCAAATTAGGCTGGTGTTGCGACAGATTAGCATTAAAGACTTCACAAATTTTTATTTTTATTTTTATTCCTCTATTCCTCTGTACATGGTAAGACTAACAAACAAAACCGTTTAATGTCAAACTCTCAGCTGAATGATTAATGATTTAACTTAAGCTAAATTATAAAAAATAAAAATAAAAATAAAAATAAAAAAAAAGAGGAGATTTAGAATGGATCTAGATCTCTAAGTCCATCACCATGAGTCCTGAATTTTTTTCGTCGAGCCGGTGGAAACAAGAGCTGATGGATCTGTTTTTCAGCAGCCCCCTCAGATGTTGCCTGCAGACACGGTATACAGAGTTATATCAACCCATGAACATCATTCTTTCCTTTTTTTTCCCCAAGATGGTTGATGTTACTATTTCTAGACAATAGGACATGTGTTGTCAACTAGTGTCATCGGCTGTTTGGGCAAACACAAAAATTTCACATAATTTGGTTCTTCAAATTGTCAAATAATTGTTTCTATTCATCATTTTTGGACGATAGCAATGAATTTTATCAAAGACAGTAGTAAAGATGATAATCACTATTCAAAACAGGAAAACTGTGGCAATAGCACAAAATCTGCATCTGAAGACTAATCTTAAGATTGTTTGTTACAAGCTAAAATATATATAAAAATTGCCTCTTTTGTGCAGTTTATAAGAGTTGTTTATAGCACTTGATGTACAGGGCTTTTCTTTTTGTTCACCCTCTTGATGGCAATTTTTGGTTAATATAATTTTTGCTAATCAAAATAAAAACAAACAAACCGATCAAATAAAACTTCAAGAACTAAGCATCTATGGCATTTTCATTTCATCATCATTCAAAATTTCTCAATTTTTTAATTGGCATCTAAAAATTCCATTAGCCCGACAATTTGCCATATATAATCAAAAGATTTGCCATAAAAATTTAGCCAGCTACAACTTATCTTGGACGTGAGAATTAACATTTCTAGTTTCCTCTCTTTTTCCTTCCCGGTTAATAATATCTAAATTTTTTTTAGATCCAACAGTTGTCAGGTAGCAAAGCTTATTTTCCTTATTTTATTTTGTTAGTATTTATTTTGGTTTTTTTGCTTTTTTTAATGCGTCCTATAAGTGTCATCAATGTGCCCCTAGAGTGTCTAGAATGTGTTCATATCGTATCCTCAATGTGTCCCCACATGTCTAGAATTCAAAAATAATTTTGGACACTTCCACATGTCCAACACATGTCCAAGCATGTCTATGCCTCAGATGTATCCAACATTGATATGTAGGTCTAGGAGAGGTGTCTGTGTCCTAGGTACAAGCATAAGAAGTTAATAACATAATCCTATTGAGGATAAATTAACAATGAGAAGCACAAGTAGTTGAGAGATCAAATCATTTTGGAAAAACTATTGTTTACCTGGACTTTGAAGGGAAAACGATGAGTTCGTACTTCTATCCCAGAGAAAACCCTAACATCCATACCAAGACTGTCAACTCCAATCAAATTTGCTCCCTACAAAGAGCAGATTAGATAAGAGATTCAGAACAATTACAAAAAACAAGTAAATTATTCACATGTATGTGTACATGCACATGCACACATACACACACACAATGAATAACACAATTCAAAACATCACAGATGTATGGAAAATGATTTACAAATAAAAAATTTAGACATAAACTCATACATAATGATGTGGCCTTCAATGGTCCTTTCATTTTAATCTAAAACAAAAATTATTATAGCCCGGAATTGCAACTGCCACATCATTTTGTATGAAAATTTTGTAACCCCAGATGTATTTCAACAGCATTTTTCGTTTTGTTATGTGTTCATTTTTATTAATTTCTGAATACTATTAAAGACAAATATGTGAATTTTAAAAGTTAAAACTATCTAAGAAAAGACTTAGATAAAAAGGACATATCTGAATATTATTAAAGAGTTACAAGCCCCCACAACAAGAAGTGGATGAAAGAAGGCATAATGAATATATTGTCTTCATGAAAATTAAATGGCTACATCGTTTTGTTGTCATATGCACTTCATAATTCTCATTGTACAGCAATTCTCATCAAAGACCATTCTAAGGAAGACAAATAAAAAATACCAATAATAATTATAAATAAATAAAAATAAAAAAAAGAAAGACAAGAAATTTGAACCAATTTCACACATTGACAGAGTTTTTGAAAGGTGCGAAGCCCATTTCCTTATTTTTCTCATCTAACCCACCCTTGATCATTTATTTATAGGTTAATTAGAAGCTGTAGTGGCTTCTTATTTGGGTGGGGGTGGTGAGGTGGTGGTTTGGGATGTTGTGTTTCGTTGGTAGGTTCAGGATTGGGAGGTTGGCCAATTGGTGAATTTATTGAGTTTTCTATATGGTTTGGGGATTACGGGGATGGGGGAGGATGGTTTGCTTTGGAGTGGGTTGGGGGTTAAGGGGCAGTTCTCAATTTCTTTGTTTTATCGGGGTTTGGTGGAACAGGAGCTAGGGAATTTTCCTTGTCAGAGTATATGGTTGCCGGGTGTTCCTTCTAAGGTGGCTTTTTTCATTTGGATGGCGGCCTTAGGTAAGATTCTTACAAATGATAATTTGATTCGCCACTGTCAAATTTTAGTGAATTGGTGTTGTATGTGTTGTTGTGATGCGGAGTCCACTAATCATTTGCTTATTCATTGTTTGGTAGCTTCTTGGTTGTGGGGGTGCATTTTGTCAACCTTTGGGATTAGTTGGGTTCAGCCAAGGGGGGTTATGGAGGTTCTTCAAAGTTGGAGAGGGGTTTGGGTTGGGAACCATCTGCAGAAAGCTTGGATGATTTAATAGATTTGCCTCTTGGGAACCATCAGCAGAAAGCTTGGATGATTCAAGGGGTGCATCATCTTGCCTCTTGGTTAGAGAATCAGTTGTTAATAGTTTTGTATAAATGCGTTGAAAGGGAGGTGGATCCAGATGTGTTCTTTTTTTGGATGATTTAATTGGTTAGATGGTTAGGGAGTTTCCCTTTTTTGGAGATTTTTCTTTGTATTCTTTTACATCGGCTAAGGTTGACCACATGTCAACTATCTATAAAAGATGGGAGTTACATTTTCCTTGCATGTAACACAATTTTGATTTCATTTTTTCCCTCAATACTATCACAACATTCCTATGAGATACTCAAAATTTGAAATATTGACACAAATGCCACCCATTTACCACATTTAAATGTAAAACTTCATGCCAATTTCAAGCATGACAACCTTATAATACTATTTTAATATGCACAATAAACGAGCATCGTCATTCAAAGGGAATTGTTATCTTTGAGCATAGGCTTAAAGGCAGTGGTAGCCATATTCAAATGTATGACTGAAGGGTGAGTGGACTGGTTGTGGAGCCCCCTATAAAGTTAAGCTTGGCATTGAGATGGTAAAGTAGGTGAGGTGAGACCTAAGGGGATCTTGGAAGGAGAGTGGCAGTCGAAGAGAACCAAAACCTCTAAGCTTGCAGGAGGAAATGGAGGTTGTGACCTATTTATAGGAGGGTTGGCCTTCAAGGCTTGCTCACCAAAATGCATGGTGTCATTTGCTTGGGTAGAGAGAAGGGCACATGTGGCTTCCCTTCTTTTTCTCAATACCTTAGAGGTAAAGACCAGTACTACTTAGAGGCCTCAGCAGTTGTAATGGTGGTCGAGTGTGCTCCTCAGGTACAGAGATGTATGGAGCATAGTGTCTTTATCATGATCTAAATTTGCCTTGTGAAGATCTCTGCAAGACTGATACAGGAAGCCCCTCAAGGAGGGGAACGAATGCCGTGACTAACCTTCAGCCTAGATATTGAGCCACAAGACATCGGAGGTTCCGCACAACAGTCATGGGGTTGTTCGAGCATTCCATAACTGTGGTACCACCTAGGGGTGTTCACGGGTCAATTTAGCTCGGGTTTACCCTTGGCCCGTCAGCCGAACCGACACATCCGGGTTGGAAAATCAGTTATCTATTGTCGACCGAACTACAGTTCGAAATCAACCGAATGAATAGTCAAGGCTTGGCGGTCGGTTCAGTCGATTTCGAAAAAGTAGTAGGGATGGAAAGAAAATTTTGCGAAAAAATAGAATTGAGAAATCAAAACAACAAATTAAACTCATGAATACAGATCAGTGACAGAGAGTGACATAATACAGATGAGTAACAAATTACAGATTACACTTGATGTATATACATTTAGAAATTACAGATTATCGCCGCAGCCACTATCTTTGCTCATCGCAACACCATCGCTCATCGTCACTAACATCGTTCTTCACTAACCTTGTCTGTCACTACCACCACCCCATCAACAACGGGAGAAAGAGGGAAGGAAAAAGAAAAAAAAAATTAAAAAACAGAAGCAAAGATGAGGAGAGAGAATGAGAGATGAGTTTGTATATGAAGGAGAGAAGAAAGAGAGGAGGGTCGGTGACAGAGAGACACAAAAGGGTTAAGAGAGAGATGGAGATGAAAGGTTGGACAAAAAGAGAGAAGAAGAAAACAAAAGGATTGAGGAGAGAGAGAGACACAAGAGTAATGAGTTGTCAGATTTGAGAGAGAGAAGAATACATTGGAATTGAGGAATAATTTTTTATTGAGAAGATAAATATGACCTTGGAAAGATATGTATCTCTTAGAGAGTAAATACTCTCAGATTTTGTTTTTTTTTATAATAGATATTGGGTGTATATCTCGACTTGGAAAAGAAGAAAAAGGTTACAGTTGATTGATTGATAAGGGTGAGCTGTCACACAAAGAGACTTGGGAAGGATAACTTTGTATTGGAAAATGTAAAGTCTTTGGAAAAAAGGATTGACAGAATGCCTTTAGCTTGTTTATTTTAAAATAATATATAAGTCGGTTGGATCAGGTTAAGTTATTATTTTTTTATTCAATCCGATGTCCGACCAAAATTTCATTTTGTTTTTAGATAATACAACTGCAGCCGACCGAAAATGCGTGTGAAACCGTCCATGGCATACACGGGTCAGTCGGGACCGGGCAGGTGGGTTCACAAGTGATTCGGTTTTTTGAACACCCCTAGTACCACCCTTGAAGGGGTCCCTAGGCCCTATTCCCAACCTACTGGAGTGAGCAACATGGTGTCTTTTGGAGATCACTGGAGATAGCTCTGCAGTCAACGAATTGAGATATAGGAGGCTATGCTAGGGTGGAGAGTCACTCAACCATGCTAAGGGTGTCGAATGTGTCATAGTAGGTTGGTGTCTTTCTTGCCTTTCTTTTTTTCTACATCATGGAGGTTTCTTGAATTGGTGGAGGTAGATTGGGTGTTACCCCCTTCTTGTGTCAAGATATTATTAATTAATTTTAGGGTTTTCAATTTAGCCTACCAAAAAGCCTGAACTCCTTGGAAATGTGTAGTTTGTACGGTGCTTCGGGTGAAAAAATATAACTTCTTTTTGTTTTTACTTTTCTTGTTGGACTTCTTGTCCCCTTTGTACTTCTTTTCCATCTATTTTTGCTTTTATGCTAATAGAATTTCTTTGTTTCTGATAAAAAAAATTAAATATAGAAATAGGAAACCACAAGGTGCAACAAACAAAAAATGTGGAACTTGATGCATAGTAAATGAGAATGGAATTAAACCAAAATGTACAACATTATAAAAATAAATAAAAATAAAAATTTACCTCAACATAGAGCCCCTTCTTTTTGCACAGAGCTTTAAGAGCAAAATTGCACCTTGTGCCCTTCTCACCAAAGCGCTCTACAATTGCTGGAGTAGAGTGTACAAGAACATCAGGCTCGGCCTCCTGGAAATCTTGCAAACCAATCGCTGACTGAAGAATATGAAAAGTAATAAGAATTACAATTTATCAAGGTTGAATCTCATAAGAAGAGCATTCCAATCTTTGAATAGTTTCCTATGTTGAGACACAAATAACATTTTGCGCATTTTGGTTAAACAAGATATCTTTGAAGTTTTTCATAAAGATACAAAACTAACTGAATTGATAAGGAACCATGCCTGGCTTAGACATCATTTAGGTACAATACCCTTCTACTTCACGGCAACTCTTAGACATGCATCTGCCACACCTAAACTGTAACACCCTAGGTGTTATTGCATGACATATGCATATTTTCGTACTTGAATGCTTGGAGCTAAATTGAATACTTTTGTTATGTGAAACACTTGGAAACATGCTTTCATAATCTTTTGATGTGGCCTAGAAGTATTTGTTCTTTGGGCAACATGCCTAGTCATGCTAAGTGAATAAAATAATTCTTAGATCTCTCTTTGATATGAAATGAAAAGAAACTTAGAGACAAGAAAGAAAGACTTTCATTTTTGCATATGGAAGCTATATGTAATTATATTTCCTTAATCAATGAGCTTAATTGATATGGTCCAATGTGCCTAACATTTCTATGCAATGTGTGAACTTAATCGCACCCTAGGTGTAATTTCATGACATATGCATATTTTCATACTTGAATGCCTGGAGCTAAATTGAATTCTTTTGTCATGTGAAACACTTGGAAACATGCTTGCATAATCTTTTGATGTGGCCTAGAAGTATTTGTTCTTTGGGCAACATGCCTAGTCATGCTAAGTGAGTAAAATAATTCTTAGATCTCTCTTTGATATGAAATGAAAAGAAACTTAGAGACAAGAAAGAAAGACTTTTAATTTTTTGCATATGAAAGCAATATGTAATTATATTTCCTCAATCAATGTGCTTAATTGATATGGTCCAATGTGCCTAACATTTCTATGCAATGTGTGAACTTAATCGGGATAAGTGTTAATTAAGCATGATTAATAGATTTAATCAAGATTAATTAACCTTAAGCATGATTAAGTAAGATTGAGTATGATCAGTTAAACTGTTAGAATTTACCAATTTACTCCTCCACCTACCATCTCCACTAGCACCCACTTCACCTACCACCTCCACTACACTACACCTACTACCACCTTCTCTTCTATATATAGGAGTTGTAATACATAACACAATATCAAATACAAACCAGAGATGTATGGAGCATAGTGTCTTTATCATGATCTAAATTTGCCTTGTGAAGATCTCTGCAAGACTGATACAGGAAGCCCCTCAAGGAGGGGAACGAATGCCGTGACTAACCTTCAGCCTAGATATTGAGCCACAAGACATCGGAGGTTCCGCACAACAGTCATGGGGTTGTTCGAGCATTCCATAACTGTGGTACCACCTAGGGGTGTTCACGGGTCAATTTAGCTCGGGTTTACCCTTGGCCCGTCAGCCGAACCGACACATCCGGGTTGGAAAATCAGTTATCTATTGTCGACCGAACTACAGTTCGAAATCAACCGAATGAATAGTCAAGGCTTGGCGGTCGGTTCAGTCGATTTCGAAAAAGTAGTAGGGATGGAAAGAAAATTTTGCGAAAAAATAGAATTGAGAAATCAAAACAACAAATTAAACTCATGAATACAGATCAGTGACAGAGAGTGACATAATACAGATGAGTAACAAATTACAGATTACACTTGATGTATATACATTTAGAAATTACAGATTATCGCCGCAGCCACTATCTTTGCTCATCGCAACACCATCGCTCATCGTCACTAACATCGTTCTTCACTAACCTTGTCTGTCACTACCACCACCCCATCAACAACGGGAGAAAGAGGGAAGGAAAAAGAAAAAAAAAATTAAAAAACAGAAGCAAAGATGAGGAGAGAGAATGAGAGATGAGTTTGTATATGAAGGAGAGAAGAAAGAGAGGAGGGTCGGTGACAGAGAGACACAAAAGGGTTAAGAGAGAGATGGAGATGAAAGGTTGGACAAAAAGAGAGAAGAAGAAAACAAAAGGATTGAGGAGAGAGAGAGACACAAGAGTAATGAGTTGTCAGATTTGAGAGAGAGAAGAATACATTGGAATTGAGGAATAATTTTTTATTGAGAAGATAAATATGACCTTGGAAAGATATGTATCTCTTAGAGAGTAAATACTCTCAGATTTTGTTTTTTTTTATAATAGATATTGGGTGTATATCTCGACTTGGAAAAGAAGAAAAAGGTTACAGTTGATTGATTGATAAGGGTGAGCTGTCACACAAAGAGACTTGGGAAGGATAACTTTGTATTGGAAAATGTAAAGTCTTTGGAAAAAAGGATTGACAGAATGCCTTTAGCTTGTTTATTTTAAAATAATATATAAGTCGGTTGGATCAGGTTAAGTTATTATTTTTTTATTCAATCCGATGTCCGACCAAAATTTCATTTTGTTTTTAGATAATACAACTGCAGCCGACCGAAAATGCGTGTGAAACCGTCCATGGCATACACGGGTCAGTCGGGACCGGGCAGGTGGGTTCACAAGTGATTCGGTTTTTTGAACACCCCTAGTACCACCCTTGAAGGGGTCCCTAGGCCCTATTCCCAACCTACTGGAGTGAGCAACATGGTGTCTTTTGGAGATCACTGGAGATAGCTCTGCAGTCAACGAATTGAGATATAGGAGGCTATGCTAGGGTGGAGAGTCACTCAACCATGCTAAGGGTGTCGAATGTGTCATAGTAGGTTGGTGTCTTTCTTGCCTTTCTTTTTTTCTACATCATGGAGGTTTCTTGAATTGGTGGAGGTAGATTGGGTGTTACCCCCTTCTTGTGTCAAGATATTATTAATTAATTTTAGGGTTTTCAATTTAGCCTACCAAAAAGCCTGAACTCCTTGGAAATGTGTAGTTTGTACGGTGCTTCGGGTGAAAAAATATAACTTCTTTTTGTTTTTACTTTTCTTGTTGGACTTCTTGTCCCCTTTGTACTTCTTTTCCATCTATTTTTGCTTTTATGCTAATAGAATTTCTTTGTTTCTGATAAAAAAAATTAAAAATAGAAATAGGAAACCACAAGGTGCAACAAACAAAAAATGTGGAACTTGATGCATAGTAAATGAGAATGGAATTAAACCAAAATGTACAACATTATAAAAATAAATAAAAATAAAAATTTACCTCAACATAGAGCCCCTTCTTTTTGCACAGAGCTTTAAGAGCAAAATTGCACCTTGTGCCTTTCTCACCAAAGCGCTCTACAATTGCTGGAGTAGAGTGTACAAGAACATCAGGCTCGGCCTCCTGGAAATCTTGCAAACCAATCGCTGACTGAAGAATATGAAAAGTAATAAGAATTACAATTTATCAAGGTTGAATCTCATAAGAAGAGCATTCCAATCTTTGAATAGTTTCCTACATTAAGAAACAAATAACATTTTGCGCATTTTGGTTAAACAAGATATCTTTGAAGTTTTTCATAAAGATACAAAACTAACTGAATTGATAAGGAACCATGCCTGGCTTAGACATCATTTAGGTACAATACCCTTCTACTTCACGGCAACTCTTAGACATGCATCTGCCACACCTAAACTGTAACACCCTAGGTGTTATTGCATGACATATGCATATTTTCGTACTTGAATGCTTGGAGCTAAATTGAATACTTTTGTTATGTGAAACACTTGGAAACATGCTTTCATAATCTTTTGATGTGGCCTAGAAGTATTTGTTCTTTGGGCAACATGCCTAGTCATGCTAAGTGAGTAAAATAATTCTTAGATCTCTCTTTGATATGAAATGAAAAGAAACTTAGAGACAAGAAAGAAAGACTTTTAATTTTTTGCATATGAAAGCAATATGTAATTATATTTCCTCAATCAATGTGCTTAATTGATATGGTCCAATGTGCCTAACATTTCTATGCAATGTGTGAACTTAATCGCACCCTAGGTGTAATTTCATGACATATGCATATTTTCATACTTGAATGCCTGGAGCTAAATTGAATTCTTTTGTCATGTGAAACACTTGGAAACATGCTTGCATAATCTTTTGATGTGGCCTAGAAGTATTTGTTCTTTGGGCAACATGCCTAGTCATGCTAAGTGAGTAAAATAATTCTTAGATCTCTCTTTGATATGAAATGAAAAGAAACTTAGAGACAAGAAAGAAAGACTTTTAATTTTTTGCATATGAAAGCAATATGTAATTATATTTCCTCAATCAATGTGCTTAATTGATATGGTCCAATGTGCCTAACATTTCTATGCAATGTGTGAACTTAATCGGGATAAGTGTTAATTAAGCATGATTAATAGATTTAATCAAGATTAATTAACCTTAAGCATGATTAATTAAGATTGAGTGTGATCAGTTAATTAATTAGAAACTAACCTAGCTTAATTAGTATTGATCTAGATTAACAAAGTTTGTGGTGTGATTAGTAGAGACAAGTAGGCACACATCCGTATTAGGGCCATGCCACCTCCTACTTGGAGGATAGACACGTATAAAATAGAAATAAGTGTCTCTATGGAAAAATTAAGGAAAAAACAAGAAAAGAAAGTGAAAATCTGCCAGGAGAAAAAGAAAAGGGAAGAGGGGAAAGCTTGGATTCTTGCCCTAAATTTGTTCCTAACTTGAATTGAGGTAAAATTCATGCGTCAACACCTAATTATAACCTTTCAATTGAATGATTTTGTTTCAAAACCATCTTTGAAGAAAGAACTGAAAAGCTGAAGTTTTGAAACTTGTTTTCATTGAATTCAAGCATTTGATTTGGAAAAGCTTTGAATTTACATACGGAAATAAGAAATAAAGAAAACCAAGGGGTTGTAGCGTGTGTGGCTAGCCCTTTGGCCATCAAGTCTCACATAAGGGGAGCTGTTGGGTTCCACCCTTAGGAGTGGAATGGGAAGCAAGACTTTAGTACTTGCAAGGAGAGGGTGTGAGTTCAACTCTCCCAATGTGCTAATCTAACAACTAACCACTAACTTTTGCCGATCAAAAAAATAAATAAATAAATAAATACTTTTTCCATGTTTTTATGGTTTTAAAATGCTTTAAATTAAGTTTTTAAACCGTTGGAATGATAATTTTGAGTTGGCAGCAAAACTGTGCAGAAAAATTTAAAACAGAGAGCAAAAGCTGAGGGATGAGCTGGTCGCTCGAGCAGTGTGGGACAGCTGCAGCATTTTTCTTTTGTGCTCTGTTTGAACTCCTTATGACCTGCATAACCTAATTTCAGCATCAAAAATCAAACTTAACACTAAAATAAGAGAGAAAAATGAGATACCTAAAAGTGCAGATTTTTTATGACTTGTTTTGAAGAAAAAAAATCTAACATGTATTGTACACTTAATTTTACTGCATTTAGTGCAATGACTTATCAATTGCATTGTGTTTTTCATGCTCATGTAGGTTGAACTACTTCGTGGAACTAACCTACTTTCTGAAAGGGAAAAAGGAGTAGTGATATATCTTAGTTTATTTTAGTAAGTCTTCTTAGGAACTTAAATCTATGCTATATTTTTTCGAATATGAAATGTTTGATCATTCAAGATGATCATGTTGGTTATATATGAATTATAAGATTCTATCTACAGCTTTAGTCCCAATGGCTATTAGGAACGTAAAATATACTAATAGTAAATATATTAATAGTATTGGTATTACAAGCTCCCCCCTAGATTGTGGTTTTGACATACAGAGAGTCGACCCAATTATGTTTTGTTTCACACCCTCTAGATGGGCATTATTATTATGTTTAGAAATGCAAATCCACAAAATATGTTGTGGTTCAAATGCAAATTTAATTTTTGGATTGCTTACAATCATTTGAAATGAAGATATTCTTGTCCTAAAACAGCTTCGATATATCACTGTTCATTGGGCTTTGGCTCACCCCTCTTCTCTATATATGTAGGTGATGTGGATAAAACATGAAGGCTTCATGTTTGAAGTTAAGTGTACAGATGAATAGACATGGAAATCTGTATGCGTAGTTGTTGGACAAAAGACTTGAAGTTTGAAGTGTACACGTTCAACTTTGGAGAGAACAAGTAGTTCTTCTCTTGTAAAATATTGTACTCTGTGTTCAAGCTTGGAAAGGTACAATTAAGAATAATGTATGTTTTATTTTATTTACTTATGCACTTGCTTTGAATAGATATTGTGGAATAAGCAAGTTATATAATTTAATGGCTTCCGCTATCCAAAGCAGTTTTACCCCAAATTTTACAGGAGTGCCATATGCTTGTTTAGTAAGGCCTTTGATAGTCTATGGCTATTAGCCGGTCACTACTCTATCTCAGTTTGAGATGGGATGGGGTTGTGACATAAACAGTGACAACATCACATGAATCTTTTTTGACAAGCATACGTATCCGACCTTTTTTGACATAAACAAGGACAACATTTTAATTGTGTCAGATGTTCAAATACGACGATGGCGAGTGCAATATATACATGCCTGAATACCGTATATGGAGAATAGCTCTATTCTCATGATCTCCAACCTATAGAGAGTTGAGCTAGTGCAGTTTCCATCACCTTCGGTTCTGAAGTCCCAAACTTCACCATCTAAAGAAAATTTTGAGAAAAGTGAAATGAATGAATCCAAAGATAAATAAGTCAGCAATTTTCAAATACAAGATACTAATTCAAATTAGCAAAAATAATAGCATGCTAAATTTCTATTTCCAGTAGTTAGGTTTCCATCAGCTAACAACTACGATAAGGTGGTAAGGTAAGCAAGCAAAGCTATCCAGCCAAGATTTTCAAATAAGCAGTTCCAAGCAGATGGAAGAAAAGTATACTATTTGTTTGTAGCTCCCATTTGATACCAGATAAAGAAAATCTTGGTTCATCTTCCTCTTGTATGGACTCAGCTCAGTAGTTCACCATGTGGTACAAAATCTCTAAATTACTCAAAATTATAAATAAAATTTTAAAATTTAGGGCTTTCTAGTTTAGGAAGGGAACTAAATAAATGTGCGGTAAGAAATGTCACAAATACCAAACCAAACTAAGAAGGCTTGTGTCCCAATCAAGTGGGGTCAATACATCTTAACCAGAGTCACCATCCCACTGATAGATAAAAAGTAAATTGGACCCAAGTAACAGGAAACTCCTACTTGGGTGACATTTCTTACTTAGAATTGTAATTCCTAGCTCCCAAGTAAGAAATTTGTATGAAACTCGCTCCCAACTGAGATAGAACCTCTCAAACATACAAATTTCAAATAAACAAAAGAAAACTATTTATTCTAGTACTTTCTATTTACATAATATATTTATTAATACTTAACGAAGACAATTTGTAGTTGACATCAATATCTGTATTTATTCATATTGTAATACATATATTACAACTAAGAAAAAAATTACTAAAACATATTTTCACTTCTAATATGTAAAATATTTATATGCTCCCATAGACACTCCTAACTTCAGAAACTTCTATACACCCCCACTCCCCCATCCCCAGTCCCTGCTTCGTGCAAATAAGTATTGGACACCCCACTGAAGAGAACTGGTAAAGTAGTGAACAAAAATACACAAAAACTGAACAGAATCTCTAGATAAATGGCCATATGATTCACAAAAGGAATATAGGCCCTAAGCAAGAGGCAAACTGAATATCTGTTGGAAATTAACAGCAGATTATGCACACTTCGAAATACATGAAACATTAAGTTTCACATTTGTCAGATAAATATAACCTAGAATCAACCAATAATATTGTTCTGGTGCAATCCACCTGATTTGGTGATGCTGACAAATCCCCACTAGTTGATGGAGTGAAAAATAAATAACCAAGAAAAAAGGGAAGATTTAGCTCCATAATGTCAGTTACATAATTAAATCATCCCAATACCTTTCCAGTCTGAGTTGTAGCCATCACTATCTTCACCACTGAAGAGTCGCCGTAAATATAATTCTTCATCAATGAAGACAGGCCTGAGGCAACCCATAATGGAAACTCCATTTGACGGGTGGTCCATCTTTTTAGCATACTCCAAATTAACAACCTAAAAGAAAGCATATACTCAATAGAATATTGCAATATGAAATTGCAATGATGAATAGATGCCAACAGAAAACCAAAATGAAGAAAGCAAGTACGAAAAATAAGGGTAAATTACAAATACACCCCTGAGGTTTGCTTAAAATACGGATTTCCCCTAAGTTTCTGAAAATTACATCCCACCTCTTCAAGTTTCTAATCGCATAACAAATTACCCATTTTATTAATAAATCATGAAGTCAATTAATAGATTTTAATGATACTATAAATATATTTTAATTAATTATTCACGTAATTTTATTGTTGTATGGAAGAGTAGTTACGAATTTTATTTTTTCTGTTAATTCCATTAAATAAAAAGGTTCTGACAAGGCATTATTTGTAATTTCTAGAACTACAGGGGCAATCCATATTTTAAACAAACCTTAGGGGGTGTATTTGTAATTTAATCAATAAATAAAGAAATAAATGACTAAAAGCTTCAACTTCCACTTAAGAATTCATATCAATCAAGGTTTCATTGGTAGTTTTGAATACGAAGTTGATGATAAACACCAAAGTATTTTGAGATATAAACCAAAAATTCATGACTTTTAAATTGGCAAGAACATGCTTCTGTCAGGGGAAGGGAGGACTCCAATCCCCAACGACAGGGGCCCATATACCAACTATGCCAGAAGGTACAGTGGTAAAAAATTTAGTCATTACTGATAAAAATTGTCATACTATTTAACGAAACATTGGGGCCTAACAGATAAGCTAAACATTAGTTATGGTTATGACCAAAAACATCTTTAAAAAAGAAAAAGAAAAACAGCTTCAAAAAAACCCTCATAATACCTTTGTCAAGCACTTGGCAAAATATATTGGATGAACACCACTGGCAGTATCTATTGGCATGCCCCACTCAACTGGGATATCAGACATTTCATTATCCTCAACCTATTTTACAGCAAGATGAAAAATCAACAACCTAAAAATGTGAACTCCAACTGTAGAATAGTATTCAAGTGTAAATGGTTCCTCACCTCAAAATAATCATCACTGAAAGGCATATCATCACTAGCACCAGTTTCTAAAACGTTATACTCAGCAGCAGCTACCCTTCTGTTCTCGTATGTAGTGATATCCATCCCAATTAAAACATTCTGAAGGAATGCCACCCTTTTTAACAATTAGTATAAAGATTATGTATGTCCTACGCAATTTAAATCACAAAAATCAGAATTCATCATGCTATCAAGCGGGACTGATGTGCTATCAAGAAATAAGGTTAAAAAGTGTTCAACTAGTCTCCAACTTAGCCATGAACCAATACTGACAGCTACAGTACTTATGTAGTTGGTTGGATGTATTTATCAAAAAAAAAAAAAAAATGTAGTTGGTTGGATGTTCCAACAACTACGATTGAAGGTGGACCAGAACTCAAATCAAGGCCGAAATTATACAAAAATCAAATTTTAGGTTTCAGAGAGTTATGGTGCTCAAAACAAAGCCTTAAGAAGTAGCAAAATAAGGCTACAACAGAATAAAAAGCACTGAAATTTTTAAATACCTCAATCACCCACCTTTGAAAGAGTGATTACAATCCTACATATAAGTAGCTAAGGAGGTTACTTAACAGTGAAGTTGATTTGGAGGCTTCATAGTAAAAAGCAGGCTTCAACTCTTGAAAATAAAAATAAGAAAAGAAACAAAAAGTGAAAAGCAGAAAGAAAAACAGTACAATTCAAGAATTCAACAAACATTCTTTGTCGTTTGACAGGTTCTCTCAAATGAATTTTCACATAAGCTTAAGTTAATTTTCAAGAATTACAATTAAATAGACACAGCATATTGGAGTTTTTAAGGTCTAATTTATTACATCTAATTATTTTACTAGATATGCATCGACCTCCAACAATGATGGCTCAGGAGCAACCATGTTTCCTTGCCATATGGAGAACAACATTAAAAGAGCATGCAAGTCCTCACCACAGGGTTACTTGCTCCACGATCTTGCAAGATGTTTTCAGCATCAAAGATTTCAAAAAATATATCTGGGAGAAAGTAATCAGAACAATAGTCAGTTGGATACAATAGACCAAAATTAAAATGAAAGTTTAAAATAAAAAAACCACACCTCCATACTCATCAATAACATACTGAAATTCAGCCCATGAGATGTGTTCATGTGGTTCACAGTGTACCGTAGAAGGGAAGATCAACAAGGCACTGCTGTTAGCCTAAAACAAAAGCAAAAACAATACCATGCATTCCAAATTAATATAGTGCATTATCATTACTAAGCAATACCAAGTATGCCAATCATTCTTGAGTTTTGTTCCACATAGAAAAAATAGAATTTCACATTCACATGGCACAAACTTTCTAGCCCTCTAACAAAAAAATTTCAAGAAGAAAAGAAAACACCTCAACAGTAGTCCTTGCTATTTCAGCAGGGGTGAGCTTAGTGTCACGGATTCTTTTTCGAACTTTGAGATCTTCGAGAGGATGATATCCATGATTATGAACATAGTTAGATGAATCAGAAAATGAATCTGAATAATCTGCAGCAACCGAAACTTTTGAAAGGCAAATTTCACGTCCCACAGGCAACCAATGTAATTGTGTGGCTCCAAAAAATGGACTTCTGCATCTGTAACTAGATATAGAGAGAGCTACATAATTATTTTCCTTTAGGAGTGTAACATTGTTAAAGGTACAAACATTTGAAAACTGAAAATTGTTATATGGCATCAAAGCCATACATCACCACTACCACCAGCAAACAGACAAAGTAAAAAAGGACAAACATTTTGTTAGAAAGTTAGACTAAACCTAAAGTCCCAGTGCATGAGGCTCCCTCATACAAAGAGGCTTTTTCTGTGAAGGACAAATATTTTTTTTCTAAAATAAATATATGTTTAATCTTAATACAGTTTCCAAATTACTCATGCTGCCTCCTTTTGAAGCACAGAAGTAAATAAATTAAAATAAAATAAAAAGTCATTCATAATTTTAATAGACATTTAAAAGTACAATGCTGCAGTGCCACCTTGATTGCCAAGGGAAACAGCCCTATGAAGCGCAAACACTTCATTTTAGTCATTTGTAACCGTGTCTGACACAGACACTCCTTGGACATGCCAAGACACATGTTTTTCTGTGAAGGACAAATATTCTTTTTCTAAAATAAATATATGTTTAATCTTAATACAGTTTCCAAATTACTCATGCTGCCTCCTTTTGAAGCACAGAAGTAAATAAATTAAAATAAAATAAAAAGTCATTCATAATTTTAATAGACATTTAAAAGTACAATGCTGCAGTGCCACCTTGATTGCCAAGGGAAACGGCCCTATGAAGCGCAAACACTTCATTTTAGTCATTTGTAACCGTGTCCGACACAGACACTCCTTGGACATGTGCCACGGGTTGCCTTGCAAGGCTAACTCCGTAACGTTTTGCTCGCGGTGGTGTGGCCATTTGAGTGCTCAAGAGTGGCCGTTGGAAGTGCCCCAACGTGGCCTAACTTTGGCCCCAAGTAGCCCAAGGCATGTAGGCCACTAATAGCCAGCAAACGGCAAAGCCGCAGCCCATGCCAATAGCCAAACAGCGCTGCCAGCAGCAGCAAAATACAGCAGCAGCAGCCAGCAGTGGCAGCCAGCAGTGCAGACTTTTGGCGCGTTGTTGCGCTAGAAAGAGATCTTGGGGGAAGTGTTTTCCCGACCAAGTTTCGTGATTTTTCTCAATTTGTGGAATTTATGAAAAATCATTATGACTCCTCGGACATATATGATGTTTCCTCCTGCCAGAGGGCAAATTGCTTAACAAGCATATATAAGGGGGCAAGGTGTGCTACCTACCCACCTCCCCGCCCAAACTGGGCTTCAAGTGAGCAACCTTGGGGCAACTCAAGGGCGGACTTTAGGCATCCAGAGGGGTGTCTAGAGTCTCCACGTGGGTTTGGGAGCCCCGTGGACGGTGCAATAATGTAGGCACTGCGCGCACCCTCCCGGTTGACAGGTCCACTACGTTGTTTCCATTATGCCACGCAATATGGCATCTTTGGGACTCGTTTTGGACCGAATGGGCTATCGAGGCACCACTAAAGGCCTCGTGTGCCAACTCAAGTGCTTGGTTTGGATTTAACCTTGCACGAGGGGATCCCGTGGCCTAAGCTAAGCGGGATTGGAAGGCGACACCGCATATGTGGGCTATCAAATGAAGGCATCAAGCTATGCATTGACTAAGTCCATTAAGGGACTACATTATGCTACAAGCAAGCTACGGATTGAGGTGTTGCCTTACTCATGCTATACGTTGGTGCAACGCTAAGGTGTGCAATGGCCTTAGGCGGAATCTAACACACGTGTTGGCACGAGGACTACGCCGTGGGCAAGAGATTGACCCTCGGTGGCTTGTGGGCTTCGCATGACCAAGTGGCCATCCAATATGCATCTATTGAGGCATGCTTGACCCTACGACACTTCGGGATGCTTTTAAAGACCCAACATGCAATGTTGGCTTGTCGGCTAAGTCGAGGCCCTTCGCTAACATATTGTTGTGTGGCTAGGTTCCTTGGTGACATAAACCTAAGTTGGGCGAGCACCTTGCTGAGGTAAGCTTGGCGCTATGAAGCGACTTATGCCGTGCTTGGTGCACTGGAGGCGTCAGGCCTACTTGTGGCATCCGGGTGAAGACAGAGCTTCCTTGTGAAGTTGTTTTGCTTGACAAAGCATTGGGCTCTAATGTTCAAACGGGTGAGACCATCAACACTCGATTTGTCAATGAGCTATGGCGGGCTTAAACTTGGTGGAGTTTGAGCGCCACACGGGCAAAAATTGATCCGCTGCGCCTCTAAAGGAGTCGGCCCGTGACAGTTGGTATCAGAGCTAGATCACTCATTTGGGGTGAGCTCGATCTGGAGCGGACATGCAGCTATCTTGTGATATCATTCTTCCGTGGACCCCGATGCAACTGCTTGAAGGAGTTATGCATGAAACTCATCCTAGGGGACGTGTATGACAACCTAGACTCTAAACAAGACCGCCGTTGATTTTCTGGTCATGTTTGAACTGTGGGAGCTGATTGGTGATGTCTTGGGGTATCTGTGCTTAATGTAATTCTTCGGCGACGCCTTGAACGCAGCAACCGTTCTTGAGGGTGCGAATTGAGCAGCATTGTGGCATCTAGTGTTTCCTTGCTAACTTGGTGTTTCCCTCTCACTTTGTGGACTTGGTGAACATTTCTACTCTGTGGGCACACTGTGGCGCGAGTAAGCTACATTTGTGGACGGATTGCTTCCTAACCAGCAGGGTTGGACATGCCTCATAGCGTTTTATTTATTTTTTTAATTATTTCTGAATGAACCACAAACTCATAGCCAAGGGGCAGTGTCCAAACAAAATTCTAAAAAAATAAAAAAAAAAAAGACAGTAAACCGAAACACTAGCTAAACCAGTTAGAACTAGAGTAAGCCTCCTCCTTTAGATAACATTGCCCTCTTCCAACCTCCCCAACCTCCCAACCTCTTACCAATCCTCTCAATCATTGGGGCCCACAAAATTTATGATCCAGGATTGTTCCCCACAAGAAGCACCAAGTATTTAATTGACAAAGTGTGACGACCCCAACGTACATATCATTTTTTGGCATATTATTTTATTAAGAGAATTTGCATGATTATGTGTTTAATTTTGTATATATCTGTTTGATTATGAAATATTTGTTAGAATGCTCACTTTGAATCATAAATTGAAGATCTCAATGAATTCAAAAACAAAAATTGACAAGTTTAATAGGCTAATTTGAATATTTAGAACTTTTGGAAAAGCTTAATTAAAATTTGATTCGGATTAAAAATAATTAGAAATAATCAATTAGAATTGAGTGGGATTAATTAGTCTTAAGCTTGCTTAATTAACTTAAGCTAATCTAACCTATATATATATATATATATATATATATGTTATAAGAGAAAAGAAAGGAACTCATATAATCAACATTTGTGCTGAATTTAGAGTAAGAAGAAGAGAGTTGGTGCTAAGAGAGAGGGGGCTAAATTTGAAGAATTTGAGGAATTGATTAGAGAAGCTAAGGGAATTCAACTAATGAATCATCAATTCAAGCTCTAGGTGAGTAATTAATCCTTAAATCTTATAGATAATCAATCCAAGAGCTAAGTTTATGAATTATTTAGGATCATATGCATGTAATTCGAAGGAGTTTCCAAGAAGATGATGATAATTAGTTTGGAAAGGACATGCATGCATGATTTCATCATGTTATCCTATTTTGGCGATGAACTCTACCATCTTTGTTGGAATTCAAGTTAACTTGCATCCATATTTTTTATTTTGAGAAGTTTGAGGGTGTGAGTTCATGAATTTAAAGGATCAAATTCATATTTTGAGAATTTTGAAGAAAAGAGTTTGGAACTCCTCATGCATGGAAGTTTTGATTTCAATTTTGACAAATTTGTGAAGTTTTGAGTTGTTGACTTCAAATGGATACATTTTCATGTTTTTCTAAGAGTTTTCAAATGTTTGTACCAACCGTGCAAGCTTTAGAATTTGAAACTCATGTTTTGAGCTCAAAATTTTGCTTGGAAAATCCAGAATTCGGCCTCATCGCTCGAGCGAGGAACTTCCTTGTGAAGTTGTTTTGCTTGACAAAGCATTGGGCCCTAATGTTCAAATGGGTGAGACCATCAACACTCGATTTGTCAATGAGCTATGGCGGGCTTAAACTTGGTGGAGTTTGAGCGCCACACGGGCAAAAATTGATCCGCTGCGCCTCTAAAGGAGTCGGCCCGTGACAGTTGGTATCAGAGCTAGATCACTCATTTGGGGTGAGCTCGATCTGGAGCGGACATGCAGCTATCTTGTGATATCATTCTTCCGTGGACCCCGATGCAACTGCTTGAAGGAGTTATGCATGAAACTCATCCTAGGGGACGTGTATGACAACCTAGACTCTAAACAAGACCGCCGTTGATTTTCTGGTCATGTTTGAACTGTGGGAGCTGATTGGTGATGTCTTGGGGTATCTGTGCTTAATGTAATTCTTCGGCGACGCCTTGAACGCAGCAACCGTTCTTGAGGGTGCGAATTGAGCAGCATTGTGGCATCTAGTGTTTCCTTGCTAACTTGGTGTTTCCCTCTCACTTTGTGGACTTGGTGAACATTTCTACTCTGTGGGCACAATGTGGAACAAGTATGCTACATTTGTGGACGGATTGCTTCCTAACCAGCAGGGTTGGACATGCCTCATAGCGTTTTATTTATTTTTTTAATTATTTCTGAATGAACCACAAACTCATAGCCAAGGGGCAGTGCAAAAGAAGGTGATCAATATGCTCCTCATCCCTCCTGCACATGACAGACCACCGGAGACAAATGGCAGTTAGGCCTCCTCTAAACCATATATCAATGGTATGGGGTTTTCCTTTAACCATCGACTACACAAAATTTGAACTCCCTTTCTCAAATGAACACCCTCAAGAATAGACAACAAGGACACTAACTCATATGTCTCTTGATCATTAAGATATATGGAAATTTTGAAATTCTAAGAGACCTAAGAAGAATAGGAAGAAACCAAAGAAGCAATAGGAACACCATGAAACTAAGATAAATGATACAAGTGAGGAAATGAATG